TCATCCAACAAACCGCCCTGTCTTGCTCCCGTTTCGACTTGGTGACCCAAGCCTTCTCTGTCGCTGCCTCCTTGACCTCACGCTCCGACTGCTCGATAGCAAGCCGGTGCACCTTGGAGTTCTTCCCTCGGAGGCGGCGAGCGTCCGTCTCCGCTGTCGCGAGGGACCGGCGGTAGACCCATGCGAGTAGCCACGCGTCCTCGTCGGGGTCCGCCTGCATCCCGCGGCGGTGGCGCGCGGACTGCTCCACTGTATCCCTCTCCCGTGTACGCAACCTCTCGCGGCGCGCGGCGCGCGCCTCCAATTCCGGAGTGCGCGTGCGGGCCAATGGCGCGGGCACTAGCACTCACCGTTCCTGCATGGGGGAGCAGCCGGCGGGGGAAGGAGACAGCGCGGGGCAGTGCGGACTGTGCTGTCATGGTGTCGCTGCATGCGGGCTGGGAGTGTCCAGCTCCGGCGTCTGCGCAGTGGCGACGCTCCAGATCCGGAGCTGCCATCGGTCTCCACCCTGGACTGCTCCAACGTAATGCAGAGGGCCATCTCCTCTCGTAGTTGAGCTTGGAGACGGAGTAGTTGCCGGAGCTGGACATCAGAGTGGATGGGATCAGAATCGGAGAGGGATAGGAAAGGACGAAGCGAGAAAGAGTGAGTTAGGGTTCGGAGGGAGGTGTTCGGATTGGGGTTTTTGTGGGACAGGTATGGGATCGGTGGTGGGCCGGGCCTATTAGGCGAACGCGTTGTGCGTGCCCAGGCCGCCCCATATCCGTCCTATATTTGAGCTGGATATGAGGGGTGCCGGCCAGCCAGAGCGTTTGTCCGCGGTTTGAGAGTTCCGGTTAAGTTTTTTTGTTACCAGTCAGTGATCGGATGGTCTGTCCGAGCATTTGAGACGAATACAAGAGATCCGGCTGTAGATGCTCTTAGCCAGCACCCCACTGGACTCGACGAGGCATGATCTCACCACAGGTCATGGATCGTACGTACGCTTGCCGTCTCGTGTTTGTTTTACTCGATCGTGGCCCTACTTACTCGTGCCTAAGACCAGCAGAAGCTACGCATTAGCCCGCTACGTAGCCGCCATTCGCCTAGCTAAGCTCGTTGTCTGACCCGAGAATGAAGTAGTGGATCTCATTCTGATCGGTCTCTCAAGTTTGTCATCTTGCAAGCTACCAGTACTAGTACAGTACTACTATACATCACGTACCACTCCGTCGTTCAAATGTCCAACGCACGCATCTGTGGAGTACGCGGTCCTTTCTCCGCCCTCAACTGAATGCGTGTCTCTCCGGCATTAAATTTAAATTTTACTCACGGTACTGTTGCCGACGATCGAGCGAGCCATGATGCATGCATTCATGCATGGGCTGGATGGATCCACTAGAGGCAATAAACTCGTCCCAGTTCGATCCGGCCTGGCCTGGGCAGCTGGGCGGGCTGCACGGACTTGTGCAGCAGCTAGTGCCTGCGTCGGGACCAGACCCGACGGTGGCCGGGCTGAAACCCAGGATCGGCGCTACGTGCTAGGTACAGGGAAGAACGTGGCCACTGTCTTTTCCACGGGAACCGGGAAAAAAATCCATCCCCGTGATCCCAGAACCAACCAAACCTTTTTCCAGTAGGCCACGTGGTACGTGGCCAAGCTTTGACAATCCGCGCCAGCTAGACGATCGGGGTCTCGTGCCTAAAACCGAGCTGCGAGCTCGATCGAATATCTCCAGAACTGGTGGCGAGCTCGAGCTCAGAAGCAAGATGTGGAGTGGAGTGGAGCGGAGTGGAGTACGTTTGTCCGCGTGGCCGGGCCGGCCGAGAAAGGCAAGTCCCAAGTAGCACCCGCGCGGCTCCGCCTGCCCAAACGAGACGCGCTACGGATGATGATCTGATCGAGACCCTTAATAATTCGCAACAGTCCCCTTGCTACCAGAACACAGTCCCTTTTGTGATCAAAGAGGCTTTAGGTACGTGTGATGTGAAGCCGCTGGACCTGGACCGATCGGCGCAGCATGCATGTTGGTCACTGCAGTGCACTGCAGCCCGAGCCCGAGCCGGACGAGGACCACGCAAGCCACAAAGGTTTACGTACTCCACACAGCAACAGCAATAGTACCGCATGTACTACGGCACACCGCCGCCCGGTCGCTGTTGCTTCCGTTCCGCTGGGCCAAGCAAGACGTGGATCCATTCCGGTCCACTGGAGCTGGATACACACACCACCACACCCCACCACATGCCCCCCTATCGCTATCGCTATCGCTCTCGCTCTCGGTCGGTCTCCACCAGTACGAAATCTACTAGGTGACGAGTACTAGTAAAACTAAGCGCCGCGCGTGAGGCGACAGCGACGTCGGCCCCTTCCGTCCGTTAATTACCCTAGTACGCGCAGATTGCAGATTGTTTGACTCCCGGAGCGCAAGCGGAGATGGAGCTGGTAAACCGGGAAGGAAACGCGTCGACTACTACTAATGGAGGCCACCCAGCACCAATCAACTGGTCGTGGTAATACTCCACGACGCATGATTTGATACCACACACGGCGGGCGAGGCGGCCGGGACTGTGCGTGGTGGAGCCGGACCCGCCGCCGGCGTCCACGTCCTCGGGATCCTCCTGACTCTGCCCGCCGGTCGCCAGTCTCTCTGCGCCAAAGCGTCCGAGTTTCAGCGCGTTTCCATGCAGGGCCATGCCACGGACCAAGAATTGACCGATGCAGAGCACTGTAGCCGACGTGAGTGGAGGCAGGGCAGGGATGGCATCGATCGAGGGCGCCGCGCGAGGCCACGACCACGACGACCGCGATCACGATGGAGTGAAGCCCCGGAAACGGGCCACGTTGGGCGCGGAAAGCTGTCCGCATCTGCATGCGACACGGCAGCTTCGAAAGAAAAAGGCGCGCGCGCGGCTGGCTGGCTCCCGTGTTTCCCGGCGCCCTTGACCGGCCGCGGCCGGCCCCCGCGCGCCGCCGACCGCCGTCCGTGCGCGATCCGACGGTGGCGCCGGTGTTCTGGAACCAACCAAGCAACAAATTGCGGTGCAACTGTGCGGGTGAAAGACCCTCCGCCGGTGCAACTTTACAGGGCCGAATTGAATATTGCATTGACTAGTGCGTGTGAGGAAAAAATTCTATGAGACCAGGTCTTACGGATTAGCAGGTGAGACCCATTCTGATGGATGACACGTGGCATTCACAAATCACAAAGCATCCATCCCACCCCCACCTAAAATCAGGGAGGGAGAGATTAGATACTTTGTGATTTGTGAATGCCACATGTCATTCATCAGAGTGGGTCTCACCTGATTTATATGAGACCTGGTCTCATATAATTT